GCTGTATTTTCTACGTTAATGCTAAGTGAAATTTACGGACGCACCTGACTTGCACGGATCAAAACGGACTATAACGCGGGTACCCTGTATATCGCCAATATTTTGCTGTACGTGGCATCCTCCGATTACTGTTAACTTTCCATCAGGAAAGTAAAATTTTGCTGCCACCCTTAGATTACGATCTGCAGGCTATCAGAGGAAACAAATGATATATTTGTGTCGGCCGTATCGATCTGGCTCTGACGTAAATGCATTAAAAAAATTAAATAGTAGGTACTGGAAGTTATGTATGTATAGCCAGACCGAGAATGTCTAGGTGTGGCTCGAACGTACCGAGATAGTTTGAAAAATAAATGTTTCGCAATAATTTATTTATGTATTCATTTACTATAATTATTCTCGAAGGACTTGTACGAAATATAATAAAAGTTTCTAGTCGTTTTTTGATTTCTCATCGTTTTGCGCGATAGAAAATATTTCTTCCGAATTGCCGCGTTCGATCATGTAATTGTGGGAGTTTGCGCATTACTATTTCTCTAGCTATCCACTACTATTGACCGATATTCACTAGTATTGACCGTTGGACTATCCCCTACTACTGACCGTTATAATAGATCGTTGCAGACCGTTGTAGAAACAACTGACTTGAATCCAACGTTACAAAAATCTAGTCAAGGAAGCCTCCAGTAATGTGGTGAAATATTCGACTTCAGCCTGAACATGTGTCACACGATTTTCTAAAAACTCCGCCAAAGCAAATTCCGCGGAAAATATTTGCCCCGGCCAAAGAGGGAGCTCAAACACGTGCCGTAGGTTTTCAAAGAGAGGAAAATCCAACCGGCAAAAGTGACTAGTCTCTGGTTTACCTCCCGGACGGATCGATAGAGAAATAATGCGCTTTCCCGCGTTTTACGCCGGGATCCTTCATTGCATCCAACTAAAGTGGCTCTCGGTGAAAATTGTTAAATAAAGCAGTATTGATTAAGCGTGGGTAACAGTAGTTTGTACTTCAATTACCAGGCTGGGCTTCCAGTTTATTGATATGAGACGCTCTAAGCGGATGTTTCATTATGCTCCAGTGGATTCGTGTCGTGACAACGCACAGGCCGACAAAAAACAAAAAACGTCAATTACTAGTATCGGTTTCCAGTTCATTGGTATGATATGCTTTAAGCGGATATTTCATTACGCTCCAATGGATTCATATCGTGACGACGCATGGGCCAACACAAACCAAAAATAAATGCTATTTAGTGGCTTAAAACTTAAGTTTATACAGGTTTGTTTATGGGATTATTTTAAGGGAGGTTTTAAAATCACTGGTTTTTTACTTATATCGTGCTGGACTTTTGGGAAAAACATTAAATTTAGTAAAATATTTTTGGCATGTCTATGGCATTTTTCAAAATATCTACGGCTAAGGTTTTTCGGACCTATGATTAACTTGTATTTCCCATGTCCCTTAAGCAAATGTGTATCGTACAACGGTTATAAGTCAAACAAATGTTTGACCATCTCAGGTGTACCTCAGGGTCCTAACTTAGGGCCACTTCTTTTTATTTGGTCTGTAAATGACCTGTCTTTGTCTCTTAAATTCTCTACTTCCAGTCCCTTTCTTTGCTGACGAATAAATTGGTATTGTGATACTGATGACTGATTTCAAGATCTTTTGAAGGTTATGTGTGGCGTGTAGTAATATGATTGTTTTGAATATTAATAAATGCACAATCTATCTGTACTGTTACACTTAAATTACAACCTTTAATTTGTTATTCTTTAAACTCAGAAAGTATTGCAAGCATTTCCTTTACATGCAGTGTAACTGACGTAAGAAAAAAAAACATAATATACCTCGTGACACACCCTGTACGTATACCTGCAAGTCAAGTTCATGAACGTCATTATTTTCTGTTAATCACGTCCGAGAAAAAATTCCCTAATTTATCGTCACTATTAATAGCTAAACATTACTTGCTTTTAAATTTTTTATATCAATAGCCGACCCACATCGATTTTCGTTTGGGTACACACGGCAATGTAACGATGTAACAATGTAAGGAGGTACAAATTCCCTAAAAATAATCGATAGGCCCTGTAAATAAATAATGAGGATATATAAAAATAAACAAAAGGTTAATGGTGTGGGATCTGTGGAATGGTGTCGAAAGTGTCCCACGCTTTAGATGTTATTGAATTTTCTTATAGCCGTCGAAAAACTTCTACGGCTTAGCCGGTTTGCGTTAACTCAAAATGTTTGTTTTATGGTCTTATTGAGGAGCTGTCATTTACTTTGGTGTATATTCTACGCCCTCAACGACAAACCCGACTCTAAACCAATATCCGCCCAATAACAACACCAAATTTACGTTAGAGATTGGAACAATTCCTGATTTCGTATTAAAAGCCTCTTATTCATTTTTTCTCGCAAGATCTACAGGAAAAAATCCGGTAACTGTCACATATTTCACGTGTTTCTTATATTTTAAGATACATAACGAAAGATCTCATTTCCAAATAAATTATATTCATTGCACTTTGCTTGTTAAAGCGCTGTTTTAATCCCAAGCTTCAGTGTCACTTTAAATCTCTTAGAGATCAAATTCATTTTATTTTATTAATGTAATTCAAATAGCTTATATCATTGACAGCCTGGCATCTAAACTTGAAATTTCATCTTCGGAATTAAAAATGCACTTTAATCCCATGGTATCATATTGATTTAAAAGTGCGGTTTTATTCCCTAGTTTTAGGGTGTAAAATGCCATTTTTAATCATCGAGGGATTAAATTTACTTTTAATCATTCTATCAAAAACAAATGAACATTTATTAATACCATACAAATAGTAATTATCTAGTTTGATAGCTATTAGAGTATATTATAACATGGAAGTTAAATCTGACACTTTATTAAAATTAAATCTGATACTTTATTAAAAGATGCTCTTCAGTCAAGCAACTTTAGTCAAGTAAAAGTGCTATTTTCAGTTAAGTCCTACTTTTAATCCCGGAGGGATTCTGTCAAAAACAAGCCAGTTAAATCTTTGTATCTTTGTACCATGTATGGTACTTAAATTTATATCAAAATAAAATGTTTTTTTTTAAGTTTAAATAAGTTACTTTATAGAAAAAAATAGTCCTTAAAACAAATGAATAACAAAGAAACCTTTCCTTATATTTTAAGATATATGATAAAAGATCTCATTCCCAAATAAATATTCTTTGCACTTTGCTTGTTAAAGCGATGTTTTAATCCTGAGCTTCAGTGTCACTTTAAATCTCTTGGAGATCAAATTCACTTAAGAAAAAACAAACAAATGTAATTCAAATAGCTTTTATCATTTACACCCTGGCATCTAAACTTGAAATTTCATCTTCAAATTAAAAATGCACTTTAATTCCATGGTATATAATATTGATTTAAAAGTGCTGTTTTAATCCCTAGCTTTAGGGTGTCAAATTACACTTTTAATCATCGAGGGATTCAATTTACTTTTAATCATTCTATCAAAAACAAATGAACATTTATTAATACCATACAAATAGTAATTAACTAATTTGATAGCTATTAGAGTTTATTATAACATGGAAATTAAATCTGACACTTTATTAAAGGATGCTCTTCAGTCAAGCAACTTTAGTCAAGTAAAAGTGCTATTTTCAGTAAAGTCTTACTTTTAATCCCGGAGGGATTCTGTCAAAAAGAAGGCAATTTAAATCTTTACCACGTATGGTACTTAAATTTAGATCAAAACATATATAAAATGTGATTTTAGGCTGCAAAGTGCAATAAATAGCGCATATATATATA